CTCTAGATGAAGAAGCAGTAGCCCACCTTATGGCCACAATTACAACAGAACATACCATTTCGGTGCGCGCTCCCCCTTGCTGCACCACGGGGTCGGCGGATTTGTGTATATTTTGTGTATATCTCTGTAATCTACCAGCACCTGACTTCACAGGCCGGCCAACTGCGACTTTCAATCTTGCATTTCATCCCAAACTCGGAGACCTGTGGAGTCATTGTCCTGGTGTAGCCCAGCCATCCCTTCCATTCCAAACTCCAACCCTTCAGACAGGGATTCAGGGAACAGGTCACTGGCAGGTGACTTCTCAGGTGTTCATTCACTTTCTGTAATCAACCATGTTGTGCATGCTTGGAGGTCAACAGAGCCCCAAACAGGTGGCGATGTCCACCCTCGGGTCGTAGCTGATATACCACCTTTCAATGACTGGGATTACCCCCCGCACCATCGAATGTGGATGCCTCCATCCTGGCTTCGTAAGGAAGACGATTCGCTTGGAACGTTCAGCACCGGAACTCCGCTTCGATCTCCGGTCGAAGGGCAGTCGAAGCTCCGCGCCTTTGTTTTCACTTTCCTGATTAAGGCCTGCACGCCGGAGGTTAGACACGAGTGTGTTCAGACTTCCCGAATCCTTAGCTAGCACGAACTTCTACAAATTTGAGGTAGCGAACTAGTTCATCTCACCCCCAACTGACTTTCTCCAGTTCCTCCAGTTCCCCAGATGACGCTTCTCCAACCCGAAGCGCCCTTTCGCCGGGGACCTGGCCAGGTCTTCACCGCCGAGCTGCCAGGAGCTGCGCAGGATGCTGAGCGACAGAGGAAACAGCTGCGCCGCTGGGCGGGGTTTGCCGTTCCGGCGGAGCGTGTCACACACCTGGAGCTCGGAGTTCAATGCTCCTGGGTTGACCTCCTCAATAATTGGTTGATTCTGTTTATGTTCACTGGTCAACCGGTCGGAGCCCCAGTTTTGACTCACCCAAATGGAGCTGTGTGGGGGGCTGTTTTTGGGGCCCCATCTGCGCTGGGCAGATGGAGTTGTGTTTCCAGCGGTGCTCCCGCCGTAGCTGACATGCGAACGCGTAGGAATTCTTGGTGCCCCACGACCAGCCGATGTGCTGCAAGCTGCAGTCTAGATGGATTGGGTTGTAATAGTGTTGTCACTGGGAAGGGGTTAGCTTGAATTTCTACATGCTGGTTGAGTTGTTAGTGTAAGCCCTTTTGTCTGCCAAGAAATCATGTTTTTGCCGTCTGCCCATGCAATGAGGCATCTAACTAGGCAGAGAAAAACTGAAGGGTCACGGCTTGCGGCCCTGCTGGGTGTGTGCTATGAAACCGCTGGATCATGAGGCAAAGGCCTCTAATATCACCAAGGCTGGTATCCCACGGTGTTTCTACCTCGAATCATACACGCAAAATTGCACGGACCATTTTTCTTGCATCTCGTGGGTATTTGGAGCCCATTTTGCATCTCATCCATAGCTAGCTACACGAATCTGCAAGTTTGTGCAAACGAGATGTATCATGTCTCACCCCCAACTGATTTTGTCTAGTCTGACTCTGTTTTCTCCAGAGCAAATGAGGCGAATCTGCCGCCCAAGAAGAGGTGAAGGACAGTGTACGCATCGAAGAGGCACGTAATTACTTGGACGCGTGCTGAGATTCAGGTTATGCACCATGTTTGCCAACCTTGGCTGGTTTCATGGATGAAAGGTATAAATGATCTAGGAGTCCATTTGTGAGGACCTACACACTCACAGGGTTCTGCGGGGGGTTGAGGAAGATGGGGGTCATGCGGAACGTGTGGGCATGTCAGAGACCCCTCCACACCATGTGGATCATATGACAGATGAGTGCGGGTACAGCATTTAGATACATATATAATCATATATATATATTCACATGTTATATATATATACACATAATCATATGTATACCAGGACCTTCCAACAGGTGGTTCTTGCACGCCTCCTAACCTCTAAGAGGCTATTTATAGACACCTCTTGGAGTGTCCTGGTATATATATATACATAAACAGGCTAACAGTGAATAGTATCCAAATGTGGTGCTCAGGAACAGCTTGTGTTTCACTGCGAGTTCCAGTCACTCAAGATGTCATTGCTACTATCCAATCAGATAAACCCACCCGTTTCCACAAGACTTATGTGCTCACCATCGTCATTGCGGGGGATCGCTGTGCTCACCACTGGTGGTTTCAGATACTTTATGTACACCAGCTTCTTCAAAGTGACCTCTTTGGAGTTCCTAATTTTACAGGCCCAAATGACCTCAAACTGGGATGTCAAATGGTCACTTTGAAGAACCAAGCAGTTTATTGTTTCTTCAATCTGTACTTGGGATGATCGAACCCACTGACCGATTCATGGAACTCGAGTTCCAAAGCACTAACCCAGTGGCAACACTTGTCCGCCATCGATCCATGGGCAGGTCGCGGATTGAATCGTCTTCGGCCTCGAACGCTCGAAAAGGTTGCACGGCGAGCTATCGGATGAAGGGTCGTCATGCCGAGTTGGGGCATGAATTCTTGACTGTCCCATCAAGGTCACAGCCCAGTTTCGCAAGAGGTCCAGGACTCAACACATCTAAGCACAGTGTTAGATTGATGTTCAATGCCTGACCCCATTGCACCCAGAATGGAAAGTGTTTCACAAAACTTGTGGTTCAATTCGTGGTGGAGTGGACCTCCTCAAGAGGTATTGTGAACATGGTATCCAGGTGGCCTAGGATCAATTGGGGGGCTTTCGGAGGTGTCTTCAACCGGACACCAGTTGTGAAATCATGTCTCATCACAAACAAGACGATCACATGATTATGTTCTATGTTCTTGATGAGCACCACTGTGTTCCGAATGCAAGGCACTCTTGCAAGGTTCAGTGGAGTCCATCGGTGCACCCCAGCTTTCAGATAGGAGATTCAGTTTGGATTCTTACGTGCCTCCAGGTACGTTCGTGAACTGGTGCGCCTGTGGTTTCCTGGCCATGTCGGGGCGCTCAAGCAGGGGACATCTCCACATCCGGAGAGCTTTCTCAGGCATTCATGTTCTCATGATGACTCAACCTTCGAGATTGCCTCCTGGTACAACATACATCATTTGCTTTGAGAATTCGTTTTTGCGTACATTTGAGTAAAACATTTGGCTAGACATGGTTCCAATTCCCGGATTTCTTTGGAGCTTCTGAAGAGATATTGGTATACCAGATCATCCTGTAGATCTTCCAACACTGCATGTTGTTCCTTTTCATCTGGAAAACCAGCCAAGGTTGGCATAAATGTTGCATAGTTGGAAGATCGTGCGGTATGTATTTGAATCGGCTGCGGCAGACGCCCGGCTGGGTAGTCTCAAAAGACCCCAAACGACCCCACTTCGGGGGGTCGTTGGTGACGAAAAGGTGAAGTGAAGACGGTCTGGTATGTTTTGGAGCACGCTCAAAATAGATGATTTTCCCCGCAGGTTTGTGGATCTTCCCCAGGTCTTTGGCTTTCCCCCCTTGGCGTCACCTCAGGTAATTGCCCCAACCAAAACCGCCCTCCATCCGGTTTTGTTCAGAGCATTTCTCGGGCTCACCATCCCTGGATCGGAGGATGAAACCGACGACCCCTCCGCGTTGGACGACCGGGGTGGCCAGGTGGGCGTTCATGAAGCCTCGTGAGTCTGCGCGGATCACCACCAGGATGGTGTCCGGTGGACGACGGTGCGAGGTGGACAAGGCCAAAACCATGGGAGCGGTCTTGGTCCAAACTTGTCGAAGTCGCATGGCCAGGGTTTTGTACAGCACCGATGAGTATGGGACAAATGATTTTTTCTAGAAGCCTTTGTTTATTCTGCTCATGTTCGGTGGGAAGAAAACTGAGGGTGGGTCCAAGACCAGCCGTTTCGCTGCGATTTCGGACCATTTTCGGGGGATTGCAGAGGCCCGACCACAAAGCAGCAAAGATGATCTTCAGTTGGTCATGGTCCCGGGTGAGATAATCAGCTCGCGTCTCATTCCCGCTAAATCTTTTTAAGGGTCTCCACCCACTGTGGCAGGACTGGCACATTTACAGCATCCAGCACCTTCCAAGTTCGGTGGTTTTTGGACACCCCTTAACCTCAGCTCTTTACGAGGCTATCTCATTAGACACCGAAGGTGTCGGTCCTATTTCCCCATGTTGGGCCGTCGAGCATCGGGTGGCTTCCGTGGAGCTGGGGGAATGTCCGGCCTTCCACGGGTCCAACGGATGTCTATCATCTCATGTTCTGCCGATGCGGGTGGAGTTTTTGCCGCAAAGCTGGCGGGTACATCACCCAGGGGAAGAGTGGGGAAGATCTTCGAGCGGTGCCTTGTTTTCTGACCCTAGGGCTCCACCTCAGAAGGTATGAATGGAGCCTCCTGGCACCCACCCCAAAACCCCTGGCACCTTAGAAGGTACGACGGCCCGAGGCCTTTTCTCTGGTCAGCACATCGAGGTATGTTCAGGTCAGCTGCGGAATCCCTCTTTGACGTCAACAAGTCTCCTCTTCATTGGAGACTTGGGACATCTTGGGACTCTCTCCCTGCACATCCGTCATGCCAGTTCGGCGGTCGGCAATGGTCGACAGTTGGTGCCACAGTTCGGGTAGGATCCGATCCTCCAGGTCAGCAATGGCAAGGCATGCGATTTTGTGGTCCACCAAACTGATTGAAGCATGCCACTGTTCAGGGATCACCACGCTGAAAGTCACGGAACAGACGGAACATGCACAGCAGTGACAGCAGCAACTAGGCAACAAAGCCATTTCGACGTTGGTGCCGCGGAGGATCTTATACTTTCTCACCTTCGCCATCTATGCCGGTGGTTTGGGCTTCTACACCTCTGCCGCTCGGCTTTTCGTATTCCCGGACTGCGTGGATTGTCAGATCCAGGATTTGGAGCATACATCGTGTGAAGATGAGACTGGCATAGACTGGCTATCTCAAGTATTTCGATTGGCTTTTTCAATATTGATAGATATATTGATCGCACATGCTCAGTCCATCAATTGGACTGGCTTTCCAAGGCTGCCAACAACTTAAAGGACTTGCCTCCCATGGGTGAACAGGCGCGACATCGACTGTCGCGCTCGTTATCTGAGCGTTTGGAAGGTCCGTGGGGGGTCTGGGGTTTCTTTGGAGCGGAGGGGGGGGGCCGTCTGCAAGGGGGGGGGGGTGTTCATGGGGTCGGGATCGATGGAGTTCATTGGGGTGGGGCGGTGGATAGCTGAAAATCACCTATGTTTCTGATGGATAGCTGCGGTGAAGTCATGTCTAGCTCGAGTCATTACGGCGTCTCCGGGCGTGTCAAAAGAACTCCAAAGAAGAACCTTTGATAAGAAGGAAAAGCCTGCTTGAGGACACCATCCAGTTGGCAAGGGCAGGAGATGCGTTTTTACACCAGCTTGACCAAACTTAGGATGGGTGGGTATGCCGTTGGTTCAACATTCAACACCAAAAGAAGCCAGGAGTCGATGTGGAAGATTGCTGAAGTATGTGTCTCAAGGAAGGTTGGAGGCCATCGCTATGAGGTTGGTACTTTCGGTGATCTTTGGCCCCTTTTGGACAAGAAATTCAGGAGGGCACGAGTGGTCGTTGAGCGTCGCTTTTTAAGCCTTCCAATAATCGCACCAAACGGACGACGTGGGCCACATGAATGATATGCCCAGGTGGCTTTTGGGCCTAATGCCTGGCAGCCCAGACGGGGATGGATGGATGGTGATCGTGGCGGGAAAAATGCGTGGCAGGTATGGATCATGCTGAAGGTAGCTGAGTAGCTTGGATTTTTTCTATGCATGGCGCCAGCATTTTTTTCAACCAAGACGCCAATTCAGTTGAAACTCCGGGGTTTCTCCCAGACCATATCCATATCCCGTGAAACTGGAAGAGTTACCTTGATTGGGGTCATTCGATCATGTGGTACTATTAGTACCGTACTAATAACTACAGAACTACCGAGTGACGACCGAACATTGTTGGATCATCCACCCATTTCCTTAACTTCCTCTCAAAACCGAGGTCATCATGCCCAATACACTCCATGGGACCGGAATATATGCCGCCCCTCCACCGCCCTGCGCACCACCCCTGGCCGTTTCTCGGCAGTCCCAGACAGGTCGTAGGCGTGGGATGTAGTAGAGGGGCTCCGGTCCGCCACTCCCCTCGTCGGGTCCGACTGCGTCGGGTCCGTCTCCGCGAGTTCCAGAGGGTGTAGCCCAAGAACGGAGGAGATGCCAGTGACGGATCACCTGCCAAAACACCGCTATCAGAGCTCCAGGTGGAGAGTCTGTTTGATCCAGATCTTTGGAGTGATTTGTTTGATCTCTCAAAAATCAAAATAGATCATAGAAAATTTGATGGTGCAAGTTCAGAGGACAATGTTCTAGTGGTGTTTTCGTTTTTGCTACGGGGATCAGGAAGTTTGGCTCGTCCTGATATGCTTATTCTGTTTGCAGTCCTGATGGTCCTGATATAGGATTTCATGTTTTGCGATTAATTGGTTTTAATGGTTTTGGTGTAAATGGAGTTCTCATGTCTTCGGCTTCGGAGAGAAGGTGAAAAAAAGGTGTGATCACCACGTTTGTTGTTGTTTTGGGTCGTGGTATTCCGGGTAGACCAACACACATGACACACAAAACAAACACAGTTCTTGAAGTCCAATCGCAAGCGTGGATGAAAGATGGGTCTATTTGAGGATGAGCCAATCATCATCTAGCTGAAATGTATGTTCCTTCCCATTTTCATCACCCCTCCTAACTAAATGGTTAATGGGGGGGGGGGGTACGTGGTGGCTAGCCATTTTCCATTAGCCATTTGTTTTTAAAGATTCATAAATATATATATATATATGTGTGTGTGTATTTATTTTGTTTTTGCATACAGATATATATAGATCAACTGACAAGTATCACCGGTGAAGTCGTAATGAATTTAATGACCATACCATCCCACTTTCGTTGCTAGTGGTTGGATGTGTTGATAGATGTTGACTTATGTTGATATAAACTTATCACACATGACCTTTGAACACACATGTATGTTCATGTATTTTCTAACAGGTTCAATATGGTTCAATATTGTTCAGCCTGGTCCGCGCACCACAGCCATTTGCTTTGCTTCCAGCAACGTCCACTCCATAGTCTATTGTCATCGGTGAAGCCGGTCACTGCCCCAGCAGATCTTCTATGATGATTGGTGGGGCATGATGGTACGTGCTTTTTCATGAAGATGTTGAAGGTGAAGGTGTTTGAAGGTTATTGAACCTTGAGTGAAGATGAGGCAGGCAGGTGCAAGTAGGTGTT